GTTATAGTTAGTATACACACACACACAACACACACCACTACACACACCACGCACATCACGACACCACACACAGAGTAGGTTTGAATAATATATATAAGTATATAGTAATATATATAGTATGATAATATATATAAAGTTCATCTGATGATGAGCTGAATATATCCGATTAATTATAGTATATATGCTAGTAAATAAATATATAAAATAATAAAGTAGTAATATAATAATAAGTATATAATATGTATATAATATATGATTAGGTGGATATGGGGTAGGCTGTCCTGTATATAGGAGTAAAATATGTAGGAGGGAGTTAGCGGAGTCGGTGTAGATGAACTTATATAAGGAGTGCGTCAGTTGGAGTGTGCGTAGTGGTGGAGGTAGTAGGTATGAGTGGTGAGGTGAGGTGAGGGTGCGTGCGTGAGGGTAGGTGAGGTAAGGGATGAGGGGTGTGAGGGTGGAGGGTGAGTCAGTGGCCAGGTGGGGTAGTGGTATAGAGAGAGAGGTGCGAGTCGTGATGGGAGTAGGGTCTCGTGTGTGTGAGTGGTAGTAGGGTGAGTGGAGTGGGGGTGCTGAGGCGTTAGTAGCGTGTGTGTAGTAGGGCGGGGTGAGGCGGAGGGTGGGAGGTAGCGCGTAGGTAGGGGGAGGGTGGAGGGTCACGGGTGGGTGAGAGGGGCGGCCCGGCGTGGTTGGGAGGGGTGGCGGGTGAGAGGATAGGTGAGTGAGTTGGTAGTATGGGAGGGTGGGTAGTGATAGGATTGTGCAGTGGTGGAGTGGTGAAGATGAATGTGAGGGTGATGGGTATGACGGAAGAGGGCAGGTGGGAGGTTAGTTAGTGGAGGTGATGTGGAGGTAGGTGTGATCTTAGTATTAATTTAGCCGAGTGTGTTACTATTTACTTTTTATCCATTATTTACTTCCTTTACATCCTTACTTAATATTATATATATTTTATATTATCATTTTAATATATGACACATCATATTAGTTCTATATGTCACTAAACAAAAAATATATAATGTTAAAATAAGTGTTTTAAAAATTTATAAAAAATTAAACAGGATAATTATATGATAATGTATCATGAAATATGTAGCTTATAATATGGAATATATACGGTTAACTAGTATATACATTGAGTTAATCTCTAGGAACTAATTAAGTTTAAAGATTATAGTAAATATAAGATAAAATAAGTTAAGATAAAATAAAACTATAAAATAATAATAAATATACATAAACCAAACCCTATTTAGGAATTTATTAATTTTATAGGATATTTATATATATAATAGTCATCATGTTAGGTATTAACTTTTTGTAGTATAGATGATATTACTATTTTAATATTAATAGGTTTTATGGGTAAATAGAAATGAGTTTTAAAGTTTATGTGTAAATGTACTCAATAACTAAGTATTTTCTAAGATGTGAATATATATGTATATATTCAGTTATTAATGATATTATATTATATATATATACACCACCACCACACATTATATATATATAATATATATATTATATAGTATATAAGAAGTGTATATAGCAAGTACCAGTTAGATACACCATGATACATGTTGTATTGAGTTGACAATGTGATCTATCTATTATATAAGTTTAATAAGATGATTTTATACTATTGAGACCAATTCTATCATTAAGTATTTAAAATTTTGTAATTCATATATATTTATAGATTATTAAAAATTTCATTTCTTGCGTAATGGCTGACTAATTGAACGTAGTAAATACCTATCTCTACTTCGTTATTGTTGTTATTTTAAACTTATCTATTTTTAATATAACCATTTGATTATATTTCTTACTATGTAAATTAAATTATATTCAATTCACAGGAACTATTGCTACTTTTTTATATCTATAAGTATTTGCTTCTTCATTAACTTATTTGCTATTATCCTTTGTTAATACCTAACTGGATGCATGAACCTTTGCAGATATATTCATTAATCAAATTGCTTTCATAATTATTGCTATAGTGTGTGTGTGTTGATAAATGTTTAGTTTTCTTATTATTTAACATATAACAGTAAATTTCTGAAATGTTGTCGACTTTGTTATTTTATTGTTCAAATGATTTTCAATATAATGACTGTAATAATTACATAACTAGTGTAGATCTATAATATATAAACATAGCGATCTAGTTTTGTTAATTGAGGTCCTGTCACTGCCGTGATTGTTCAAAGCACAATCCGAGAAAGATAATGGTTTTCTGAGCGTTAGTGAGTCTTATGTGTGAGATTGAGGCACTGGTGGGCGGTCCTCAATAATAAACCATTTAGCAAATAATCTGCCTCAAAAGCATTTATTTAATATTAACTCTTTTGTGACACTCGATGATAATTTTTGCCCATAATTTATTATTACTTAGTTCCACGCAATAGACCCTCTGGTGTGATTATATTCTCGTAAACGATGATTTTGAATATCTCAGTTATCCTATGATCTTCTCTCCTACCTTCATTTATATAAA